TGGAGGAGAATTTCATGTGCCTGTTGATAAAGTGGATAGAATGCATGGCTTTTTCGCAAAGTTTCCTGTATTTCCCATATTATTTGTGTTGATAAATCTTTATTATGTCCCATTCTTATTTGAAGGAAAACATCGGAATTATATATATAAAGTTGAGCATAAGTGTCTTCTTGATCCGCATTGGGTATAGAGCTTCCGAAAGGTGGCGTAGCTCTTCGTAAATGCGAAAGCTATATGGATTATGCCCTTGTAGAATGCTTATATCAATTTTTGCACCTAATGATGTAAATGTATGTGCTGCGTTATATTGACAAATGTTCTTGCGAAATTCCAAACAAAAATCAGCTTCACAATCAAAGAGCATTCATAAAAAAGGTGGAGGATCATGAAGAAGAGGAAGAACAACTTTTCCATTTAGACAACATGATCCAAATTTTGGATTTTTTCTTGAAGAATTTGTTAAATGTTCATCTAATCAATGGAGTGTGCTGCAATGACTACACTCTATATCCATGCAACCGAGGTCATGTTGCATATTATCTTGGTTTTGGCGAGACATAGTTGGGTTAATATCTAGTTCAATGGTGGATAATCGTTTATACCTTCTTCGCTGTTGCTGTGTGGTGGCTCTTTTATTTATTTTTTTCTTTTCATCTCGCTCACGTTTTTTCCTTTGCTGTTGTGCGGTAGCTCTGTTATTTATTCTCATTCTTTGCTTTGCATATATAAATATTTCAATTTAATTGGAAGGAATTTATTTCAAAGCAAAAAAAAAAAAAAAGGTTACATACTAATAATGCGTCAATATAACAAATGTAAGTTTATAATTTACAGTTTATTATAATACTACTGGCAATTGAATATTATCACCTCTCATTCTAACACACAATATTAGGATCTTATAAGACGAAAGGCTTTATTTGTGAAATCTTATATCGTCATATATAAAAATCTCAGAACATTTGGATTCATATGGACTTTTAGGGAGTATAAAGTATAGGCTCCAGCAGTCCCAAAATAAAGCCAAGTTATGCAACTCTATTTTAACATCAGCATCCTAAACCTTTAGATCGCAATCTTGTAAACTTAATAACGATACTCTTTAAGGCAAATTCATTATATTAGGTATATATATAAATACTTTAATTAGAACAAATTTCTTTAAAGCGGAAAAAGAAAAAATACTATGTGCTAATAACACATCAATAATTAACAATTATTAACCAATTATATAATTTAAATTAAGTTTTAGTTCACAGATCACACATATATGAAATACAATATTACTACCGGTGATTAAATATCATCTCAACAATCTTTTATTCTAACATCAATATAGAATACAATATTCAGAATCTTTATAAGACAAAAGATTTTATTTGTGAAATCTCATATCACAAATATTGAAAATATGTATCATATGAGAAGTCTCATAGAACGTTTGAGTTCACATGGGAATATAATGTGTGGGCTTCAGCAGATCCAAAATAAAACAAAGCCATGTAACTTTAAATTGCAATCTCTGAACTTCACTAACTATATTCTTCAGGAGTATTTAAGGCGAATCCCTACCATATCAAACAAAGAAACATATAAATATAAGTGATTTTTTTCTCAATATACGAAATTCCCAATGGTCATCTTTACTATCTCGACAAGATCCGAATCACTTACCCTACATAAGAGAATCATGGCAGATACAAAAGACATAGAACGAATGTCTGTTATTAAGGAGAGGTCAGGCCTAGAAGAATTCGATTCTCTCTTCGACTCTGTAAACAATGATAGGTTGATAGCACTCAGATCCTAGCTTTTAAACATAGATAAAATAACATTTTTCACTAATGGATCTATCTGAGACAACAAAGGTGCAGTGGGATAGGTAGTCAAAGAGCAATCTTATTTATGGTTTAACACCGCACTTACACATCAATTTGACATCACTAAGATAGAATATATTTCTATCCTATTTGCTATTTATGTCATGTCACCAGGTAGAAACATAATAATTTTTATGGATAGCCAAAATGCTATAGATCTTATTTATAAAACTCTTAAGTGCACACATAACTCCCATAGACACAAATTGTCTA